TTTGTTAGTTGATTTACCATATGACTATATCTTTTCTCCCCAACTATGCAATAAAAATGGGGTTGTATTTCCACATCACTGAGTTCACTAACTTGTATTCTATGTAGAATTTTTAAAATTGCTTACTAACACAGAATTGGGAGACAGGAATAASACCTGTGTTACAAATTAAACATGGGTTTTATTACCTGTAATTGTTAAGCTTCAGAGGACATTATTTGACTCATAGTATATAGGAATCTGTGTCATAATAAGCCAAATTACAACTGAGTTCTACTTTTCTGTAATCAAGCTTGTCAACCACTACAGGTCATATTTACCAGCTAAAACTCTATTTCCTTGGGGCTGGGGTTGTGGCTCTGCAGTACAGCGCTCGCCTCCCATGTACGAGACACTGAGTTCGATCCTCAGCACCAAGAAAAATAAATAAGTGAAATAAAGGTATTGTGTCCAACTACAACTAAAAGATAAAAAAATATTAAAATAAAAATAAAATTCTATTTCTTAAATAAATAAATCTGTGGTGCTGTTTGACCAGACTCCCTGTTAATATGTACCCAACACATTCTTCTCTTCTATCACGATTATCACATTACATAATTTCTTTATTGTCCGAACTACCACTACCACCACCACCACCCTACTAGCATATAGGAAGTGAAGACCAGATCTGCCATGTTCRCCACCATATTCCCAGTGCCTAATTACATGGAAACTCATCAACTGATCTATTCATCCAACCTCCTCTCCCTATGAAAACAGCCCAGCAACACTGGCTTCCATAGCCTCAAACAGAAGTTCTGATTATTTGGTATTTGTTATAAGGTATATTAATCACTCTACTCCAACAAACCTCCCATCTGCACAAGTTCCACTGTTTTGCATCTAGAAGAGCTTGTTTGTTTTTAGATCCCTAAGWATCATTTTGTGTGTGTGGAGGGGGATAATCAGGATTGAACCAAAGGGTACTTAAACACTGAACCATATCCTCATTCTGTTTTTGTTTGTTTGTTTTTAATTTTGAGAAAAAGTCTCGTTAAGTTGCCGAGGTTGGCTTTGAACTTACACAATCCTCCTGCCTCAGGCTCCCAAACTGCAGGGATTATAGGCATGTGCCACTACCCAGCTAAGAATAATTTTTTTTTTTAATGATCACTTAGCACATGTATAGTATGCCACAAATTCAATAATCTTAAATATTTCATGTTCTTTCACATTAATTTAGCTCATACATGAAAGCAGTAGAAATGTATCACACATCTGTTCAATTTATGGGAATTCAACTATTATCTTCAGGGCTGGAGATGTGGCTCAGCGGTAGCGCGCTCGCCTGGCATGCGTGCGGCCCGGGTTCGATCCTCAGCACCACATAACAACAAAGATGTTGTGCCGAGAACTAAAAAATAAATATTAAAAATTCTCTCTCTCTCTCTCCTCTCTCACTCTCTCTTTAAAAAAAAAAAAAAACTATTATCTTCAGTACAGAGAGAGAGAAATAGAAAACAAGTAAAAAATGATTCACATAGAGCCAGGTACTTCCACTTAGTAACTGTATGCTTCACAGTAAGTACAAAAAAGGAGGTGGACATCTGCARTCCTTTTAGTCTGTCTGTTTCTGCATGCCTCATACACAAGAATCTGCTTTATCTGTTTTTAAAATAATAAAAGCAGAGGCTGGGGTTGTGGCTCAACGACAGAGCACTGACCTAGCACATGCAAGGTGCTGGGTTCAATCCYCAGCACCACATAAAAATAAATAAATAAACTACAACTAAAAATATATAAAAAATAATAAAAACAGCATGCTACTCCAATGTGGAGCAAACACTGGCTGTGTCAGACTTCCTGAGAAGTCATATTTKAGTCTTTGATATGACTACTTTTCAGGGCACTTTGAGGGTACTGAATTTTCCAAGATATTTTTCAGGAGTACTTTGTGCATATCAATTTTCATCTTACCCAGGAACTTCAAAAACAGACTGTGTTAGATGCAATGGCACTATAGATTGGGATAAGTTGTTTCCTTGGTCCTAAAGTTTCTTCCCCTTTAGGTAACAATAGCCCAAAGTGCATACAGCTGTCACTAAAAAAAGTCTATGAAAAACTGTTTCTTTTCCTCCTCTCTTGGAAAATTGTTTAAAAGAAAAGAGTGGGGGCAGGGGATATAGCTCAGTGGTAGAGTGCTTGCCTATGTGCCCAAGGCCCTGGGTTCAATCCCCAGCACCACCAAAAAATAAAATTAAATTAAAATTTTAAAAAAAAAGAAAGAGTGGTCATTTAAAACTTAGAAAGTATATAAAGAATAATACATGTTAAAAAGAAAAGTGGAAGGAAGGAATGGTACCTGAGATCTTCTCATACACAGTGCTAAATTAAGCTAGTACTACTAAATGGCAGACACAAACAACCCACAGTAGCACCCATTCTAGAAAAAAAAAAAAAAAAAGATCTGATTCCCTATCACAATGTACAGAATAAAAAGACTATAAATATATATATATATATATACTAACATTATGTATCAATTTCATATCAACATGTGTATGAGGTGATGAGTGAAATTAATACAAGAGAAAAAATGACTTCTTTCCAGCTTCTAATAAGTCCCTATTATAAGAATCTTCCTTCAAAGATCCATCCCAATCCCAAAGGTCTCCTCCTACAAATCATAAAAGGCTTGTGTAAGCTTATTTATATTCCCTTTTCTTCTACACATAACTARTGTTTGTGAATTATCTGTTAAATGTTCAAAAGACAGGATTCCATACAAGTTACAGGCTGAGTAGATTGGTGGCCTTCTTTATTAATCCTCAATTAGTTAAATTATCATCTCAATTTCTCTTGGGTAGATGTCAATAAAAATGTAGTCACAAAATTTATTCTTCTTTTGTGGGCAGAGGGGAGGTAAAGGCAAGAAGAAACTTCTTGCTGAAATGCAGAGGGAAAAACAAAGGTTAAAATATCCTAGCACCTTTACCACCATTCCTTTGGGAAGGTGCTCCTGCTCTACTCCAACCATGTGATTTTGATGGTGCTGCCAATGAAATATCCTATCAGCGTTAGCCAGAAGAGCAGGCATATGGTATTTTCAAGTCCACTCAGGCCAATCAGGGTCCTTCCTTGGAATCTGTAAACAMTGAAGGCAGTTTTCTCTCTAGGGCACACAGCTTGGATGATGTGACACTGGAGGTGTCTGGAGTCCATCTTTCATGCACTTACATAATTGAATAGAATGAAACTTGCAATTAGAGAAGCAGAGATGGGGACTGAGGAGTTAGATATCCTCTTTTGGAGAGGAAGAGACACAGAAGAACATCATTTAGTRATTTAGTGAAATCCTAGCCCTACCCTGGTTTCTGAGCCAATAAATCTTTTTGTTAAGCTCCTTTGAATTGAGTTTCTGTCACTGGTAACAGAAAAAGCGTTAACTTGAAAAGTGTGATTGCTACCAGAGTAAAATCTAACAAATTCATAACAGTGAAAAATCCCAGGCAAATCTATAGTTTTTGACTAAAACACAGAATGCATTTTTATCATGTCTATATAGAGTGATGACAATTCAAACATTAATTCAGGACTCAGTTCAGAATGGAGCAGTTTGATCTTAAAAATATGTACAGATAACACCTGAAACTGTAGATCAAAAAAAGATGCCATCTAAACTTTTTGAAACCTAAAAATAGATCAAAAGTTTTATTAAGTTTTTATTTACTTTCACACATAAAATTCACATTTGGTGTCATAATGGTTGAAATGTCTATGGAACAGTGGGATACAGCTAAGAATCACCAAGATACCCCAATATTCTGGTAGACAGAAAAAATTCATCTGCTGCTGATGGTCCAGATACAAAGAAAACAGAAACAAAAGTCAACATACTATTGTTCAGTAGGTCTGCAAAGAATTATCTCATATATAACTATGTATCTTTGATCATATGAAACCCAATAGTGTAAATGAAAATTTTCCCATTTACCTTTACTGTACATTCTATGGGACAGGCCAGTTATTGCCAGAAGATTCAGTACCTACTCTGCTTAAATCTAACATAAGCAAACCCATGTCTTACACACACCACACACACACACAGACACACACACACACACACACACACACATCCCTCAGATGTAGAAATCTCACAAACACAGACATCTAGAATACAGTAACACCACAGCTAACATCTATGCTTACTCTCCTTGTTGGTTTGGTTGGGGAGGGAGTATGGTAGAATGAGCAGTGTAGAAGACACAAGCTTTTCTGTGCATTCTAAAACTAGTCTAGGGAKTGGAAGGGACCAAAGGGGCCTGCTAATTTAGAGAAGTCTTCCCATAATCCAAAGCCATGTCTACCCCATCCCATCCTACCCTCCTCATTTGGTACACCCAAACATTTTGGGGTTTCCTTCTTGTAAGTTAAAAGTACCAGAGRCAGAACTTCCTTCCGGTTTCCTTCCTTCCTCAAGTGCCACACCTGGAGAACTAGAAAAGGCAGAGCGGTGGCTTCTACTTTAGGGATCCACCTTTCAACCTGCTGTGCTCACTCTGTGGCACACCTTGCAGGTAGAGCAGAGTTGGAACCAGCCTCACAAGAGCGCACCGCAATCCTGTAAGGTAGGCACCTCCACTGCGGTAGGCGGGCTGCACACGGCCCGAGGAAGAGGGTGGAAGGGTCAGCCACCACGTAAAGTCTCACAGTCGGGGGAGTGGTCGCGTCTGCCCCACAGCCTCTATTGGTTTGGACCAACCAGTGGAAACTTGCCTGCCCCGGTTCCAGGCCAAACACAAGACACGCCCCTCCGCCCCAGAGTCAACCTGCCTGGCCGGTGGCCCCAGTCCAGTTAGCCCATCAGAGGCTGCCCTGTCAGGTCCTGAAGCCGCGCCACTGCCGCGCGGAGGGGAAGACCCGGGCTCAGCGACCTGGCSCGCACGCTGTCCTCCCACCCTGGATACCACCGGTCTCTGCGTCCCCTCCTGATGGCCGGCTCTCAAGAGATTAGTTACCTGAGCTTGAAGCCATTCCGGCCCAGGACTCCAGACTCACGTGACCCCGCCCCCTGCTCTAGCCTCAAGCATGCGCAGTACTCTACCATCGGTGGCCACGCTTCCGCTTACCTCCTCTCSGCGCGCTTTCTCTTGGGCGGTCCGCGAGCCTAAACCACGCCCCTATTTAAAGGGCCAGAGATACACTGTCTGGGGCTAAGGACTCAATGAATGATAACGTCAGAGGAGCGCAGATCATCGACCTTGAGACTAGCCCCTGCACCAGCAGAAATGACTCACTTGAAGGCACACTTGATCATTATCAGTTTTTAGCAATAAAATATTTTTTAATTGAGGCACGTACGTTGTTTTTTTCAGACAATACTATTGCACACTTGCTAGACTCCAGAATAGTGTAGATTATATATGCCCTGGGAAACTAAGTACCACTCCTTGAGACGAGGAAAGAAAATCTCTTCCAACCCTAGGTCAGTGTTTTAGTCAGCTTTTTCACCGATGTGACTAAAGGACCCGAACAGAAAAACTGTAAAGGAGGCAAGGTTTATTTAGGGGATCATGGTTTTAGAGGTCTTAGGCCATAAAAGGCCGCCTCCATTCCTAGAGTTTCGAGGTGAGGCAGAAAATMATGGCGGGAGAGTGTGGTGGAGGAAAGCAGCTCACAAGATCATCAGGAAGCAGAGAGGAATGTATCCAGGTGCAGATACAAATATATACCCCAAAGCCACASSCAATTCCCCACCTCCTCCAGCCACACCCTCCCACTTCAGTTACCAGTTAATCCCTAAAAGGGGATTAATTCACTCRCTGGGTTAAGATTCTCAAAACCCAATCATTTCTCCTCTGAACCTTGCATTGTTTCATACGTGAATTTTTGGAAGACACCTTTCATCTAAACCATGACAGTGAGTTCACTTGGTCTTCTGGAAGCGACCCTACTTCAGCCAGCTCAGAAAGGATAGCTGATTCACTGACTTTGGGGTTTTGCAGCTAGTAAGGAAAAAAAAATTACTTAATTTTTGAAGATGAACACTGAATTGCCAATTTTTTACTTTGCCACTAAAGATAGTAATTAKGCATACTAAAGACTATTATTTTCTAATTTATCAACATTGCTCTGCAAAAAATGCATCATAAAATCAAAAATATAGAAGGAACGCACTCCCAAATAAAGGAGACATCTTTAAAATGTTTATTTATTTCTATTATTACTACAGAAGAAAGATGAAAGCTTTTAGGACAGACTGGTTTTTACAGTCATCACTGTAAATAACATTGACCCCCGAGGACAAAGATCTTGCTCCTGCTGGGTTTATGGTCAAGAAATTAGAGGAAGAAAGCATGCTACTGTTATGCTCGAATTCAGGACCCCCAAAGACCACCAGAGACCCAAGATCGATGTAAGCAGCAAAGAGGTGTTTATTGCGAGCTAGCTCGGTCCTCCGAGCACTCACACAGCAACTGGTGACGCTGAGAGGCCCCGAGCCCAGGGTTTGCAGCATTTTTATACATTTTTTGGAGAGGGCAGGGACTTCACATACATCATAGCAAATCATCACACASCDCGGGAAAATCAAATAACAACTCTAAAACATGATTAGCACATTCACTGGCAGGAACAAGTTGGGTAGGGGTGATTGGTCAGAACAAAAGGGGTATTGGTTTGAACTGATTGGTTTGAGCCAAGAGGGGTGTACATGCTGAACTACATGGTTTCCCAATATGTTATCAACCACCATAAACTACTGGGAGGGTCATCTGGCATCCCAGGTATTTCCCTGTCTCATGCTGATTGGTGGCTACTAGGGGGCTGCTATGGGTCCCCACCTAGCCTGACTGAGTCAGGGACACCTGGCGCAGCAGATCTCTCCTGTTATTTGTAGATAAACAACTTAGCAGGGTGGGAATGTGCTTAGGAGTGCTCTGTGGGTTTTTCCAAGGACAAAGGTCATGTCCCTTTCTTGGACAGGCTTTGCTCTGAGATAGAGGCTGGTTTTTCACTACTAGAAGGAGATACAGAAAGAATATTCAGTTTGGCAGAGATGTGTTGAGCAATGACCTGGCTACATTTCTGGGCCTTGGGAGGACCCAGAAATGGGAGAGACACAGCCCTGTCCTCCAGATGCTCTTGATCTAAGACCTCCATATACAGACATCATGACAACCACTTCAGGAAGAAGGTGGAATACATGTGGGCCTTGAAGGACTTCTGTAGGCAGAGAACAGGGAGAATGCCTAACTGAGGCAACAGTGGGGTCAATGGCAATCCAGAACGAGTTTGGAGACTAGTTTCTGTCCCAATGTGACCATTGTATGTATGGTCAATAGTTTTCAAATTTCTTTAATCATCACCTCCAATAAGAAATACATTTCAGTCATGACCATGTACGTGTGTATATATATACACAGTGCTTGTGTATGTATGTGTGACAGAAGGCTGTCTAGCATTTGGTAGACCAGAATCCCTGTTAACAGAGAACTGTTGAAAGTATTGTACAGAAAGGAAATTGGCAGAAATTAAGGAAACAGGGCTATAGGGGGAGAGATGAGAAATTTTCTAATTTCTCTTTTCCCCCAGTGCTGGGGATCAAACCCAGGGCCTCACACATACTAGGCAAGAACTCTACCACTATTCCACATCCTCAGCTCTAACTCATGTTTCTGCAATATCTCTATGGCAATCACAAAATTATAGTGGGTACCTCTAGAAAGCAAACCTAGGATTTATGACTGATGTAGAGAAGAATATTTCAATTCACAATAAGAAAGGTTTTAGAAGAGTTTAAGCTGCCTCTGAGACCTCTCCAAAGCAACATCCCTTGTATGTACCCCTGTTCATGGAGGGAAGGTCAAATGCTATTTTATTTTTAAAAATAAAAATATTTAATGCTTATTATGGAAAACTTGGAAAATGTAGGAAACACTTTAAAATAAAGTATAAACTACTCACATTCCAGAAAACAGTACTTACTATTTTGGCCTATTTTTCTTGAATCTTTTTCTTTTTATATTTTCTCTTTTTTAAAATTTTTTACTTAGTTGTTGATAGATCTTTATTATTTATTTATTTATACGTGATGTTGAGAATCAAACCCAGAGCCTCATATATGCCAGGCATGTGTGCTACTGCTGAACCACAGTCCCAGCCCTATATTTTCATTTTTGACATACTAGAACTGCATAAAATATACAGTTAACTGTCTATATCCTGCTTTTTCCCCAATGCTATATCTTATTATGACAGGTGTTATGTCAACTGTCATTAAAATTGCTCACAAATATTATTTGTATTAGTTACATAATTATTGATTATATACAGTACTGCTTATTAACAATGCACCTGGCTACCAAGAGTTCTAATGAAGATATATAATGAGAGTAATGTTGTTTTCATACCTGCTAACACACCATTCATTCTTCATTCCATGGATCAAGGGATAATTTCAACCTTTAAGTCTTAATATTTAAGAAATACATTTTGTGGAGCTGGGGATGTAGCTCAGTGGCAGAGCATTTATCTAGCCTGCATGAAGTTTTGGGATTGATCCTCAGCACTGGGAAAAAAAATTCATAAAACTATAGCTACCATAGGTAGTATTTCCTCTGATAGATTTCTGCAAAGTAGATTAGAAACCTCTGGAAAGAATGTGACATACTAATGCTAATGAAACCATTCATTACCCATGGAAGAAAGTCAAAACACCAAACTTTACTGGAGTTTGGAAGTATTTAATTCTAATCTCTAAGGATGACTTTATGGAATTCAAGATTTCACTCTAGGAAGTAAGTATAGATGCAGTTGAAACAGCAAGAGAACTAGATTTAGAAGTGAATCCTGAAGATGTGACTGAATTGCTGCAATCTCACGATAAAACTTGAATGCATAAGGAGTTTCTTCTTATGGATGAGCAAAGAAAATTATTTTTTGAGATGGAATCTACCCCCTGGTGAAGATGCTATGAACATTCTTGAAATAACAAAGGATTTAGAATATTACGTAAATTTAGTTGAAAAGCAGCAGCAGAGTTTGAGAAAATTGATTCCAATTTTGAAAGAAGTTTTACTGTGAGTAAAAAACTGTCAAACAGCATCACATGCTACAAAAAAAAAAATCTTTTGTGAAAGTAATTGATGCAGCAAATTTGCTTGTCTTATTTTAAGAAATTGCCATAGCCAACCCAACCTTCAGCAGCCACCGCCCTGATTAGTCAGTACCATCAACACTGAGGCAAGACCCTCCGCCAGCAAAAACTCACTAAAGGCTCAGATGATCAGTAGCAGTTTTGTGTTTGTTTTGTGGTACTGAATTTTTAACCCAGGGGTGCTCTACCACTGGGCTACATCCTTAGCCCTTTTTATTTTATTTTGAAACAGAGGCTCACTAAGTTGCCCATGGTGGCTTTAAACTTACCATCCTCCTGCCTCAGCTTCTCAAGTTGCTGGGATTATAGGTGTATGCCACCGTGCACAGCTGATCACTAGCAGTTTTTAGCAATAAAGCATTTTTAATTAAGACAGGTACTTTGTTTTTTCAGATATAATGCTACTGTACACTTTTATTAAAAGACTAAAGAATAACGTAAATACAACTTTTATATGCACTGAGAAACCAAAAAAAAAAAAAAAAAAAAGGTATGTGACTCACTCTATTGTGATATTTGCTTGATTGCCTGGTCTGGAATTAAACTCACAATATCTCTGAAGTGTGCCTATACTTTAATTCATTTCATTATTCCACTATTTTAGGACATTTGCCTGGTAGGGGTGTGGGGGGGTCTTATTTCTCAGTGTTAACAGAACATTGGCATGAATTTTCTTATACAGAAATCTTGCCTACATTTTAAAATTATTTCCTTAGGATGGAAACCTGTGCAATTACTGATTCAAAACCTTTGAAATCTCTTAAGTCTGCCAAATTGCTTTCCAGAAAGGTCAGGGCAGTTTTCATTCTCACAAGAAGTGCTCAAAGGTGCCCATCACACATATCCACCAGCATTTATTTTATCTTTTAAAAAAGCTTTGCCAATTTGGTAGATGAAATGGCCTCTT